TGTTGGTGGGAGTGTAAAATAGTGCAATCTCTGTGGAAAGCAGTGTGGCGATTCCTAAAAGCTCTAAAAATTGACCTTCCATATGACCCTGCAATCCCCCTCCTGGGAATATACCCTGAAGAACACAAATCACTCTATAAAAAAGTTACCTGCACACGTATGTTTATCGCAGCATTGTTCACAATAGCAAGAACCTGGAAACAACCATGCTGCCCATCAGAAGAGGACTGGATTAAAAAAATGTGGTACATATACATGGTGGAATACTACGCAGCCATAAAAAAGAACAAAATCATGAATTTCGCTGCAACCTGGATGGAACTAGAGTCTATAATACTGAGTGACCTCTCACAAAAACAAAAATCTGAATATCACATGTTCTCACTCATATAATGGACCTTGAACATCCAATGCAATACTATGAGAAAATGACGAATGGTATTGGGAAACTATGGGGGGGAGGGGGATGGGATTAACAGTAGCAAATATCTGTCGGGGGATGGGAAAACACTTCTTATCTACAGGGTGCCTGAATGAAACGTCATTGTACACCTAACCCTTAACTGTACCCCACAAAACCATAATAAAAAATACTGATTAATGAAAAAAAAAAGAACATAATCATGATGTCTGTAATTAAGACAGCTGTGAAAAGACTTTTACATTATGATAAACAGAATTGGAATGTTGTAGAACTCATAGTGTTCCCTTGTAGTCTTCCCCAGAACCTATTCCTGAATTGTATATGCTACTATACTCTCAGTGTATACTATACTGGTTGAAGCAAGGGCATTCTTGAAAACTAGTAAGTGTGTAGTGAAAACTAGTGTATCTTGTCAGTTTGATGAGGTCCCACTTGTCTATCTTATCTCTTATGGCATGGGCATCTGGGATTTTGATCAGGAATTGGTTGCCAATTCCAATTTTCATAAGGGTGTCTTCTGCAGTTTCTAAGGTTCTTATAGTTTGAGGTTTTACATTTAGGTATTTTATCCATTTAGAGTTGATTTTTGTGTATGGTGATAGGTAGGTATCTTGTTTTAATCTTATGCCTGTGGTCAGTCAGTTTTCCCAGCACCATTTCCTGAATAGATTCTCCTCTTCCAGTCATTGTTATGGAGGCTTTGTCAAAGATGAGTTGGTTGAAAAATTGAGGTTTTGCTTCTGGAACCTTTATTCTGTTCCATTGGTGTATGTGTCTGTTCTTGTTTCAATACCAGGCAGTTTTGATTATTGTAGCTTTAAAATAGAGTTTAAAGTCTGGGAGTGTGATACCTCTTTCTTTGGTTTTTTGTTTTTGTTTTTGTTTTTGTTTTTTCTGTTGTTGAGTATATTAGTAATTCGTGGTCATTTATGTTTCCTGTATAAATGAATTCCTATATTGTCATTTCATCTGAGAAGAATGCTGCTGGTAATTTAATGGATATTGTGTTAAATCTGTAGATTGCCTTGGTTAGGATAGACATCTTAACTATGTTGATTCTTCCAATCTGTGAGCATGGAATATTTTTTCATTTGTTTGTGTCACCTTTGATTTCCAAAGAAGCCATCAAGAGAGCGGAGAGACAGCTCACAGACCGGGAAAAAATATTTGCCAACTGTATGTCTGACAAAGTCCTAGCATCTAGGATCTACAAGGAACTCAACTTGCCAAAAAAGAAAAAAAGCAAAGAGCCCCATTACAAAGTGGGCAAAATATATGAATAAACAGTTCTCAAAAGAAGACATAGGAGCAGCCAAAGGATACATTTAAAAAATGCTCAGCCTCACTAGTCATTAAAGAAATGCAAATTAAAACTATACTGAGATACCACCTAACTCCAGTCAGGATGGCTATCATCAATAACTGAAAAAATAACAGATGCTGGAGAGGATGCAGCAAAAGGGAATACTTCTATACCGTTGGTGGGAGTGTAAACTACTACAGCATCTGTGGAAAACAGCGTGGTGATTCCTAAACGATCTAAAAATCAACTTTCCATACGGCCTTGCAATCCCCCTACTGAGAATATACCCGGAAGAACTCAAATCACTCTATAAAAAAGATAACTGCACACGTATATTTATTGCAGCATTGTTCACAGTTGCAAGAACATGGAACCAACCGTGTTGTCCATCCAAAGAGAACTGGATTAAAAAATATGGTACATATTCACAATAGAATATTATGCAGTCATAAAGAACAAAATCATGAACTTCACAGCAGCCTGGATGGACTTAGAGTCTATAATACTGAGTGATCTTTCACAGAAACAAAGAACTGAGTATTACATGTCCTCACTCATAAACGGACCTTGAACAATTATTGTAATACTAAAAGAAAAGAATTGGCAGTAGTAAGAAACTGCTGGGAGGGGGACGGGGAAGCAGGACTGGCAGTAGTGAGAATCTGCCTGGGGAAGGGAGGGCACACCTCATCAACAATGGTACCTGCATAATGAACATTTGTATACCTAACCCTGAATTGTACCCCACATCTTAAAATAAAAAAATTAAAAGTTTTAAAAAAAAACTACTGTATCAAAAAACATTGATTTTGATTTCACTTTTACAAAACTAATATTCTTTTGGGAAAAAAAGATGCACACATTGTTTGAAAGTTCACATTAGCATAACAAATGAAAATGATTCTTTTTGTTAGTTTAAATTGCCTAATGTATTATCATCTCCTTCTGGGCATTGTGTTTCCTTTAACTGCTTCTGCATCTTCAACTTGTGACAATGCTCTGGTTCCTCATAACATACAAACCAGTAAAATTTAATATTCCAAACAGTGTCATTCACCCCTTCTAACCTTCATTATAATAAAATAGTTTTAAATAGGTGCTGTTTGTTTTACTTTTAAGTACTTTTCTTCTTTTAAGACTTGAATTCACAATAGACAAATATAACTGCAGCATTATTAACTTTTCAAAAAAGAGATATAAAAGAGCCTGAAATCATCCAATCTAATTAATAAACTGTTAGTGTAATGAAAAACATCAATAGGTTGTACATAAAAGAGAAATTGTCATGCATTTTACTATTTTATTTTTATGTTTAAAGATGCAATTCTTTACTTAAAAAATGAAAATTAAGTGGTTTTAGACAGCAGAGAAGGCCTTTAAAAATATTTTTTTTAAATGTGTTGCCTTTTATTTTAAATCAATCTTTAATTTTTTCAAATTCTTAAAATTCACTCAAATTCCAGCATATTGTCATAGAAAAAAGATAACTTTAGAACACAATCTTAATAAAGCACTTTCACCACTTTGATTCTTCAAAATCTTACTCAGACATTTTCTCTTCTGGGAACTTCAAACTCATTAAGACAAAGTAATCCAATAGTCTTGATGTATAGTGGCTGCAAAGCAGTCAGTTTATATAGCTCAGGCTGTTCACTTGAATCACAGAGAAGTCCACGTTTACAATATATTCACTTATTTGGCAAAAACGTACTAATTACCTATTATGTGCCAGACACAGTTCTCTCAAGGTTGTTAGAGATCTCGTGGAAATATAAGCAATATAAGCAATAAACAAATTAATATGAAAAATATATAGCAATAAATAATATTCAGATACTGAAAATATCATCTTGAGCTAGGAATTGGGTTATTTTCTCTGTAGAGGTAGCATTTTAATGATAGAGAGGACCCAGCTTTTCAAATAGTAGCAAAAAGAATATTCCAGGCAGAGAAAATACTTAGTGCAAAACCTTGTATCAGAAACAAAGACCAGTGTTGGTGAAGCACATTGAGTGAGGGGCAGAATGGTATAAAATGAGGTTACAAGAAAAAGTAGGAGCTTTGTAAACTAGAGTAAGGAATTTAATTGCATTTTAAAGGCATTGAGTGGCCACAAAATTAACAAATTTGCTTCTTCAAAGGGCCATTGTTGTATGAAGATTGGTTTGAAAATTGAAGACATACCAATTAGAAAGCTATTGTAGTCTTCCATTCAAGAAACGATAGGACAGGACCAGAGTCTAAGGTTGGAAAGAAGTGGATAAAATTTAGAGCATGTTTTAGAGATAGAGTCAGTAAAACTTACAAATGAACTGGACGTAAGGTTTAGAGAGGGAAAGAAAACACATATTTTTCTTCTTAAGCAAGTGAGTACATGCTTATAGAATTCATAGCAGGAGGAAAGAATATAGGATAAATAGATTGGAGTGAGCTGTAACAAGAGTTGTGTTTAGTTATGAAATGCCTAACATCTTAAGTAAACGGTCAAGCAAGAAGTTGGATATGGAAGTCTGGAGCTCCAAGAAGTTGTCAGGATTAGAGATACATATTTGGCAATAATTTGACTACAAATGTTCTTTCAAATCATGGGACTAGAAAAAATCTTCTGAGGAGATTGTGTGGCTTAAAAAAGAGGATATTGGAAAGTATTTGTTGAGACCCTGAAGTATTTTAACATTTAAAAGAATAGCAGATAAAGAGCGGCCAAAATCACAATAGGGAGTGGCCTTTGAGGTAAGAAGAGAACCAGAAGAAAGATATGTAATGTAAGTAAAGAGAAAAGTTGTTTTAAGAAGGCAAACTGAACAATTATGTCTAACACTGCTCGAATTTGATTAATATGGAAATGGAAAATAAACATTGAATGTAATATTATGAAGGTTATGGATGACCTTAATATCAGTCTTAGTGGAGTAGTCATGATCAAATCTTTACTGGAGAGATTAAAGAAAGAATTGAAGAAGTAGAGATAGTGACCATAAATAATTCCTTCAAATTATTTTTTAGGAAGTGCAACAGAGAGATGAGGTGACAACTGGAAGAGAATTTGATCCAAGGGTAGATGATATTTTGTTAAGTTGTATTTTTTATTTTTATTTTTGTTATTTATCTTTATTTACAGCAGGCATTATTAAAGCTAGATTGGCTGCAGACAGGAGAAGTTCAGCAGAGAGGAATTAATTGATGACATAGAAGAGAGGGAATCATTCCAGGAGGAAGGACTTTGAGAAATCCAGAGCACATATGGAGTGATTCGTCTTTGATAGAAGTTTGATTGATTGATTGATTGATTGACTGATTTCAGTCTCATTCTGTTGCCTAGAATGGAGGGCAATGACTAGATCCTGGCTCACCGCAACCTCGAACTCCTGGGCTCAGGGGACCTTTCCATTTCAGCATCCCAAATAGCTGGCACTACAGGCATGTGTCACCATGCTCTGCTAACATTTATATTTTTTTGTTGAAATGAGGTATTGCTATGTTGTTCAATCTTGTCTGTAACTCCTGGCCTCACGTGATCCTCCTGCCTTGGCTTCCCAAAATACTGGGATTACAGGTGTGAACCACTGTGCCTGGTCAGAAGTATGAATTCTTTTCCATCATTTCAAAAACAAAGATGGAGGGTGTAAATTTATATTCCGCTATTATGGGAGGAAAGAGAGGAGGAGGAAGGGATTTATTTTGACAATCTTCAAATTTATTTTAAAATACAAACTGATAAGATAGAGTATAGAAAAGTAAAGTGAACTTTGCCTTTGCAGTTGTTATTCTGCCAAGATGCTTGCAGAAATTTAGAAGGCAAAGACTAAGCTATCACTTTCCTCAAAGAGCAGAATAATAGCTTTGTAAATTAAATTCTGGTGAAGATCAGGATTCTGACTTCTAATTTGGCTACAAAAGTGATCCACAGCAATAAAACAATCAATGCCATCCCATCATGCCACACCCTGGCAAAGGGCAACAGAACCCAAAAAAAAGGCTCAAGAAAAGACTATGAAATATGCAAAGTAACTAGTAATAAAACAGAGCCCTGTCACTTTAGCAAGGAAAGATATTACAGTCAGGCCTAGATTAAAACACTCTAATAACAAGTATAAGAAGAGAAAGCTTTATTTGCTTTTAGCAAGAGAGTCAGTCTAAAAAAAGTAAGAGCGTCTTCCAGCAGTTAGCAGGAGTAATGTTTTGTTGTTGTTGTTGTTGTTGTTGTTGTTGTTGTTGTTCTGGTGATTTTGTTTATTATGTTACAGTCACTTTCTCAGATCAGAAAAAAAGGGAAACAAGAAAGGAATGTAAGCTGGGGAGGTTGAGGCAAATATTAATTAGTGGCCCTCTCTTTCTGAAAACAGATGACTTAAGGGTTAGCAAGTTCAGTCCAAACAAAATACATTCTGCAAATGCAGGGTTTAAAAAAAAATAAAATAAAACAAGCTATTTGGGCAAGTGCAGAAAAAAAAGTACTTAGTCTCTAATTTCTTAATTCTTTGTTATGTAATGGTCTTAAAAAGTTCTTAACCCTTTACGCTTGGAAGAGACATTGCTGGGAATCGCTGAGGCAGTCAAAGAAAAGGATCTGGAAACCACTTTTAAAGTTAAAGGAAAAATACAGAAGGCAGAAAACTTACTCCCCAAAGACCATCACTCTGTCTTCACCTTATAGCGAGCCTCCCTTGAATCATAATAGCTTATTTTAGCATTATTTATTATTAGTCCATAGATTGTACGTTTGATATATAACCCCACAACAGGGTGACTTTTGATGTTGCTGGCTTGGAAGACTTGATGACAATTCAGTACATTAAGATGTTTTAAGAATGGTTGTTTCCCTGGAAAACAAGATAACAGAAGTGTCATACAAAATTGGAAAAAATATATTTTATTTGTTCATCCTAAAATATTGAAAAAATATGTCTTTTGTGTATTTGATGACTTTTTGGTAATAATAAAAGACTCTTATTCATCATTTTATCATGAATTAGAATAACTTTACTAGTTTATAGAAGTAAAATGAAGAGGATTAAATGCTTGATAATATAAATATTGATTTCATAAGAGTAATTATTTGAGAGTAGCTTATTGATGTGTCAATAGAATTAAAATACAGATTATACACAGTTCAGTGAACCTAGACATCTAAAAAATTATTTAATAGCTCTTCGTGTAGAAAAACAGCAAAAATTAATTAGTCTTGGTCTGTGTTTTTAGGAAGCTTGTATCTCCCGTTTTCTTGGTTTGGGTCCATTTTCTTTTTCCTTAGCCTTGCAACATACTCATTATGATGCCAACTGAGTTGCTAATAAACTCTTTACAACCATGACTTTTCGAAGAAACTTAGATATTTATTGTACACCTATTTGAATAAGTTTTGGGGATGTACTTCCCTAGTTTCTCAGCATAGCACAATTGAGAATGATAGCTGACTGAGTCTCTGTATATTTGTGGATGACTCTGAACTCCTAGTTCAGTATCTAACATAACTGGGTATAGTGATGGAAGACATGATGAATAAATAGAACTTTATTTTCCTTTCTCTTTCCTTTTGCTCAGTTCCAAAAATGAAGCCAATATGGTAGTGTGGCTGAGGAAATGGAAGATTGAAATCATAGGTACATATTGTGTAAAAGAAATCCTCTATCCTCTTCTGTATGCAAAATGAACAATTTTTTTATACAACTAATAATTTTTTGTACAATTTTTGCTCTGAGTTAATAAAAGGAAAGAGACAGAGAGACACAAGAAAAAGGAGGAGGAGGAGAAAGGGAGGAAGAGTAGGAGAAAACAAAGAAGGAAAAGAAGAAGAAATTACTTTGGAAACAAAGCAAGTATGGCTTGTAAAGGATGCCCATGCAGATTTTAAGAGGTTTAGATAACTAAAAACTTTGGCATCATACTGAAGAGACAAATGTGGTTTGTAAAAAGATCATTGCTTATGAAGTCATTAGATCTGATCATCTCAACCTTACTACTCTCTCTATTGTATAACCTTGAGCAAATTATCTTAGATCTTTGCGCATAATACTATAAGAAGGGGATTGGCAGTAGTGGGAAACTGCCAGGGGAGGGTAGGGGAGGGATTGACAGGAGTGGGAAACTGCCAGGGGAGGTGGGAGCACTCCTCATCAACAACGGTATGTGCATAATGAACATTTGCATACCTAACCCTGAATTGTATTCCACATATTTAAAATTAAAAATTTTTTAAAAAGTGAAAAAATATCTTTTATGTTTTTCTAAAAGGGTGCTATGAGAATCAACTCAATAGTATAAGGGATGTTACTGGGCACATCATGTTCTCTGAAAGCACCGTAAAACCGATATGTATGTATTATTACTTGCAATGCAATTACTCTAATACCTAGTAGTTTAAAAACAATGATATTTATTATTTTACACAGTAGCTTTGGGTCAGAGATTCAGGAATGTTTCACATATGTGGTTCTGGTTTGCTGTGTCTCAAAACAGTTGCAGTTAAGTTGTTGACTGGGGTTGGAGAAATCTGAAGGTTGGAATAGAACAGGAGAATCTACTTTCAAGATGTCTCAATCACCTGGACAGCATTTTCGTGCTGTTTGTAGGGGGTCTCAGTTCTTTGCCGGGAGGACCTTATCATAGCACTGCTTAAGCAGTTGCAATAGGCTGTATACTTATGTCTTCTCAAGATTCATACATTGAAATTCTAACCCACAAGGTTATAACATTTGGAGGGGGGAAATTTGGGAGGTGATTAAATTGTGAGGGCAGAGAAAAGTCAGAGAGAACACTCATCTTTTCTGCCAATGTTATAGGAGAATTCAGCCATCTATAAGCTAGTGGACCCTCAGGAGATACCAAATCTGCCAGTCCCTTGATCTTAAACTTCTCAGCCTCCAGAACTGTGAGAAAATAAGTAATTCTGTCATTCATAAACCACCCAGTCTTTGGTATTTTGTTACAGTGCCCCAAATAGGCTAAGACATCATCCTCATGACACAGCAGCTGGCTTCCCTCATACTGAGTAATCAAAAAGAAGCAAGGCAGAAAAAAGGTACAATATATTTTTATGACATAGTTTCAGAGGTCACACACAATCCATCATTTACACAATATTTTATGGTTGCAAAGGTCAGCTCAATTCAGCAAGAACAGGGGAGTAGGCATCTTGAAGGTTTCCTACCACTCTTAAAATGTCTACACTTAGAATTCCTAAGTGAAGAGAATTTTAGCTTTATTCTCAACATTCATAGGCTTTATTAGTTTATTTATAATACTCATTCTTGAGTCCATTTTGCATATCTATTTTGCTAGAAACAAATGTACTTAAAGTATATTTTCTTTTCTTTTTTTTTTTGAAAGCAGGATTTATTGAGAGGACAGAAAAGCCCCCACAGTGAGAGAGAACCCAAAGGGGTTGCCCTAAACTATATTTTAAATTGACTGTGATGCGGTTGTAGGGGAAAGTTTTAAAGTGGACAAAAAGGATTTAGCAATAGGCTGGATCTGTTAGTAGCAAGAGAGAAATTCAAATACAAAGACACATGGTTGTAATTAAAAAGTAGGGATAGGAGTAGGCATATTTATTAGGCCAAAAGAATGAAAATCAACCCAAAACATTAAACAAGGTTTAAATATTACTGAGACCAGAGATCAAAATGACTTGATGATGAAAATACATAGAATAATTTTAGGCATTCTTTAATTCCCCCTGACTAGAAGCAGGATTGTTTCGAAAGTACAATAAAATGCTGATACTGCAGATGGAATAAAGTAGCAACAGTTGTGGATAATAGACACATTTTAGGTTAGGGAAAGAGGCAGGGCATATTTTACCTAATGTTTAGATAATAACACTACATTTGCTAAATTTCCAAAAGCAAGTTGCTCAAGTCAATTTATCTAATAGAATTAGAGGCCACTATTGCCTAATCCATAGGAAAGATTCATGAGATCTACTTAGCCACCATGCTTTTTTAGAAAATTAAAATATTTCATTTATTCCCCACACATGCATTCTTTTTGCTTCTTTATTTTTCTTATTCTGGCTGCTGAGTTAAACTCCAAGATTAAAGTGGTACAGAATCTCTTTCCTAGGATTTCAAATAAACATTGATACATTTTAAAATACCTCCTTAAGAAATAAGGCTACACTATTTAAGAGTTATATAACACACATGAGCGTGTTAACATTCTTGGAGGTGAAGAATATGTTTAGAACCTTGGCTGTTGATGACTGGTTTCACAAGTATATGTGTATGTCCAAAATTATCAAAATGTGCACATTGAATGAGTGCAGAGTTTATATAGCAGTTATACCTCAAAAAAGCTTAAAAGAGTCATATTTCCATAATAAATAAATAAATAAACATACAAACCTCCTTAAGTGTCAACTGAAAAGTGAATCACATTCTTATACCTGGAAACAAAAAGGATCATTTGGTGTTCTGATAAATATTGTAACTGTAGTTCTACCATTCATCCACTCTTCAATAATAATTTACTCAATACCAATTATATGTTAGGTGTTATTATAAATTCCTTGACTAGAGAACTAATAATAAAAAGACAAATACCTCTTTTTGAGTAGTATGTTTTAGTGAGAGAGATAATAACACAAGTAAGTAAAGTTGGGTACATGGTGATCAATGCTTAGAGGAAAAAAAGCAGTAAAGTGGATTAGATGTGTGGGGGATTACTGAAATTTTAGATAGGAGAGACAAGTATAGTCCTTATTGAGAAATTGATATTTGATTAACTGCCTAAAGGACATGATGTGGGAAAAGGCCAGGTAGGTACCTGGTAGAAGAGCATTCCAGGCAGATTGTCTGACACTCAGGACAGATATCATTGATTTTTAACTCTCAGACTCTAGTGTAGTTCCTGCACATAGGTTCAAAAATAAATATGTTTTGAATGAATAATGGATCTTCACACGGAGAAAATAAATCTTTTAGAATATCTTTAATTTTTAATCATTTTATTTATTTTAGCAAATAAATGGTACCCTCTTCAGAATAAAAAATTTGTAGTTGAAATTATTCATAGTAAAGGGAAAAAGTATAGACATTTGTAGACCAGAGAGATAAGCTAGAATAACAAGTTATGATTGGGAGCAAAGAAATAAAGTCCATGGGTTGCCTGAGGGATCAATGCAAAAGCTTATCTTTATGTCCTGATGAACAGATCTTATTTCATAAATCTCTGCTTTCTGATTATTTCAAGACATACACAATTTTTTTCAAACTGAATTGTTCACATTTTTTGTTTAGAAACAATTTTATCCAGGGGGAAACCTTAGGCAATGTTGCCTCATTGTGCATCAGGTAAAACCTTATACTATTGCCTATTGCCCTTTTTTGCTCCGACTTTTTCCAACCTATCTTCTCTCCTCCTACTCAATGCATTTTTCGTTCCCAAACCAAGCACTGGAACATATTTGTATACGTTATTTTATTTGACTAGTACCAGCCATGACAGAATATGAGTCCTCTCAGGGAGAAGACAATTAGTTACTAGTCTTTAGATGTCTGGTGTGGAGCACAGCAACAGGGACCTAAGCAGGAATTAATGAATAGCTGTTGAATACATCTGATTCTCACAATCCTTTTTACAGCTTAAGAAACTGAGGCACAAAGAGCTACATAGTATGTCAGAGCCTTCAGGACTGTCAACTGATAGGGCTAAAACTAGTACTTGAGTATCTCTTGGTACCAAAAAGTTCATTTGACTACTTAAAAAAAAGTTTGACACTTTGTAGGATGAAAAGTATAATCAGAAAATTCTGTATCTAAATGGTTTTCAATGAGCTATTCTAATAAAACTTGGGCTATTTTATAGTG